AAAAAAATAACAAAAAACTCTGTTTGGGAAAGTTATTTGATTGATTGCTACAATTAACGTAAATCTTGTGAACCTTCTAAACCAAGATATTGCTTCAGCTTTACAAGTTTAACAAAGATTTACTGAGAAAACCTGTTGATATATATAAAAAACAATCAACAACAATAAAAAAAACAACAAGAAAACATTAAAGCTCTATATCAAATCAGCAAAGTCATTTCAATCAGCTTGAGCTGTTAAAATGATTTTGAAAAGACGATTTTGATTTTTACGAGTTTTCTGCTATCTTTATTTTCTAACAATATCTTTATTTGTAGTTAATTTTAATTAATGTAAGTTAACTTTTATTTTACTTATATTTGTATGAAGATTGTGACAAAAAAAAAAAAAGACTAATAATCCAAAATAGCGTCCGTTATTGACCAGCATTTTGGCTTACAGAAGTACTACTCAAGCGTTGAGTTGGCGATGGCAGGATTTGAATCCGTATCGTACAACAATCCGGGTTTTAACTTTTCTTTTGACTCTCTATTCAACTGAGCTATCCAACTACAATTATTGTTGAAGACATTATTTGATCGACTACTTTTTTGTTATTTCAAACCCTGAAAACGTTTTTCATTTGTCTCAAAAAAAAAAATCATGAAAGGAATTAAAATAAAGTACATCAAAAAAGTCAACTTTTATTTATACTTTTTGGAATGGACTTGGTGTCGGGTACCCGGTTTCAAACCTGGTTTTTACCGCTGAGTAACCTGAGTTGGGGATCCGACACATACTGGTATAAATGCGTATAAATGCGTTTACAAGCGTAACTCGAACGCCACTTGTGCAGTCTATTTTTTGTAAATGTTAATTATTTATCTTTTAATAAGAGAAGACTTTAAACTAAATTAAGTAAATAACTTTGTTTTACTATTAACTCTAAGATATAAAATACATTAAAAAATAGTTATTTAAAAAATTAAAAGTAAGTATTAAATTTTAAAAAATTAAAAGTTAGTATTAAGTCGCTCTAGCATTCTATTTGCTAATGATGCGGATGACTATTTGCGGTCTGACTTTAAGAAAATTTGAGACCATAACACCAAGGTCTCTTTCGACTGCGGTTATTTTGCGAGGATGATGGGTGCCGTCGACGTTAGACATTGAGTATAGACCCTTCATAGTGACTGCTTTCCATTTATAAGTAATGCCGTTTATATCCACTCGTTGACATCGATTGTTTAGCCAAGCTGCAATCCAGTCAACAAAAGTGCCTTGAATACCGTACCCTCTCAGCTTATGAAGGAGGCCTTTATGTGGTACTTTGTCGAACGTCTTTGTAAAGTCTGTGTAAATGACATCTACTGCGTGTCTGCAGTGAGTTGCTTCCGTCATGATGTCCCAAGTTTCTAAAAGGTTTGATACGCATCCCTTACGATGAACAAAGCCATGCTGGTTTTTTTATTTAGAAGGTGTTTTATTTTATGCATGATGCCGATTGACTTGGGGGTTTTACGTTTGATGTGCAAAATATGATTCTTCATACAAAGATTTCCTTGAAAAATTGTTCCTTCAGCTTTTACCATTTCAGTTGGGGAAGCTGAAGGGGTAATTTAACCGAGTTAGATGGTTTGTGAAATAAAACATATTAAGTTTTCAGTATCTTTTAGGAAAATTTTTTAGCTTTTAACCACTCATATAAGTTTTAAAGCTCAAAATTAATAGTAGAGAATATTGTTTTTATATTTGAGCGAATAAAGAAAATATTCTTATTATCAGCAAAAAGAGTATAATTAGGAATGTTTGAAGTTAAGTAGATACACGTAGAGTAAAAACAGTAAAGGTCCAAGATTGAGCTTTAGAGTACACCTTAATTTTTTGCTTGTAACCGTGTAGTACTTCATTTAGTTTAAAACCTTTTCTTTTTAAGAGATAACCGTGCTACTCCACATATCTCTAGATTGTGTAGGAGGACCTTGTGGTCAACTGTATTAAATGCTTTGGTTAAATCAACAAACAAAGCCATTATTTTCAAAACCATACAAAATTTTATTGATTAATTCAATTATTGTATGAATGAATGGCTCTTTCGAAAAGCAAACTGTTTGCTATACAAAATAATATTTATTTCAAGATTGTTACATAATGTATTATACAATACGTTCGAGAAGCTTGAACAAGCAAGAAAGTATTGATATAGGCCTATAATTGGAAACTAAAAAGTTTTTGCCATTTTTATAAATAGAGACTTCTCTTGCTATTTTCAATTGATTGAGAAAAAACACTAGTTTTTAATGATAAATTAAACATTGTTAAAAGAGTAATAACAAACACTGCTTTCAAAACAATTGCATTAATTTTGTCGATGCGTGGAATTTTGTCGGTTTTTAATAAATTGAAGGCTGTTCGAAGTTCCTCCGAGGATATTTCAAACTCATTTATAACTGAGATTGTTTTTTTTTAGAAAAAAAAGTTTAACGATTTGTCTCCCGCGACTATTTTTTCATAACATAAT